TAGCCTTTCAGATATTGAAAATATTTATTAGAAGATACAACACTTTTTTTAAGGAAGATACAACACTTAGAGTTGTTTTGTACTGGTACACAAACATTATGGGACAGAGTAGAAATTCTTAAAAAATACCAAAAATATGGACACTTGGTAAATAATAAAGCTGCCATCTAAAAATCTGTGAAGTAAAGGGACATCTGGTAGCCAAAGTAAAATCAAATGCTCACCTCACACTCCATATCAAAATAAATTTCAAATGGATCAAAGGTATTGTAATATGCAACTGACCAAATACAAATCCTACTTTCACTCCACACAGAAAGCTAATGACTTTGGGAGGCTGAGACAGGAGAATTGCTTGAGCCCAGGAGTTCAAGACTAGCCTAGGCAGCATAGCAAGACCTTATCCCTACAAAAATAATTTTTTTTTTAATTAACAGGCCAGGCTCTGTGGCTCAGACTGTAATCCCAGCACTCTGGGAGACCAAAGCGATGGACTGCCTGAGCCCATGAGTACAAGACCAGCCTGGGCAACTTGGCGAGATCTCATCTCTACAATAAATCAAATATTAGTCAGGCATGGTACCACATGCCTGTAGTTCCAGCTACTTGGAAGGCTGAGGTGGAAGGATCGCCAGAGCCCAGCAGGTCGAGGCCGCGGTGGCCAGGAGCAAGCCACTGCACTCCAGTCTGGGCAACAGAGTGAGACCCCAACTCAAAAAAAAAAACAAAAACTTTTTGGCTTATGAAAAACTTGGAAAAATGAAGGTTATTTGCTAAAGTCAAGATGCTATGCCAGGCTCGGAGGCTCAGCCTATAATCCCAGCACTTTGGGAGGCTGAAGCAAGTAGACTGCCTGAGCCTGCTAGTTTGAGACCAACCCGGGCACTTGGCGAGAACTCATCTCTACAATAATGAGAAAATTAGCCGGGAGTTGTAACAATCGCCCGTAGTTGCGGCTACTTGGAAAGCTGAGGTAGAAGATTCAATAGAGCCCAGTGCATCAACCCTGGGCTGGCCATGAGTGTGCCACGGCACTCGAGACTGGGCGACAGAGTGAGACTCCAACTCAGAAAAAAAAAAAAGATGCTGTAATGCACAAGTTTTCTTACTCACTGAATTACTCTTGACCTTCAAATGAGATTTTACCAAAGTTATTAATCGTAAGGTATATTTAAGGCTGTAAGAAAAGCAACTAGTGTCTACAACCATAACACCCTGAGCACACCTGATCACATCTCATCTCTCAAGTTAAGCAGGGTTGGGCCTAGAGAAAACTAATAATGACTCAAGACAGAGCTCACTTCACATAGTTTCTTTTTTTTCATTCTTTCTTTTTTAATAGAGATGAGGTCTGGCTATGTTGCCTAGACTGTTCTCTAACTCCTAGGCTCAAGCAATTGTCCTGTCTCGGCCTCCCAAAGTGTTGGGTTTATAAGCGGAAGGCACCACACCTAGTCTCATTTCACATAAAACTGACTACAGTCGAATAACAACTTGCTAAAATTTAAAAAGCAACAATTAGTATATACAAAGATAATACAGTATTGTAAAAACAAGTTATTGAAGCCATCTGATTGCATAAAAACTGCAGGTAATTCCAAAGTGAGTAAAAAAAAAAATCAGGACAAATATTTTCCTCAACTGTGGGCTCCGCTTGATCCTCCAAGCATCTAATCTTTAGCAGAGATGGCTTTTCACATCCTCTTGCCCCCTAACCTCAAACTGCCTGAAAATTTAATAGATAATTCCATAATCAATAATTTTAGCTAAGATATAACTTGGAGATTATATATTAATAACTGATATTATTAGAATAACTAATTCTAACATTTAATTTGAAATACAACTAGATAAAACAATATCCTTAAAATGAAGAAGTTAAAACAATAATCCCTTGAGGTTACCAGTAAATTGTCTGATATCCTAAATCATGTGAGACTACCATAATATGAGAACAAGAAAGTACTAACTAGCTGGACTCGGTGGCTCAGCCTATAATCCTGCGTCTTGGGAGGCTGAGGTAAGTGGAATGCCTGAGCCCACTGGTTCAATACCCGCCTGGGCAACTTGGTGAGACCTCATCTCTACAATAAATAAATAAAAAATTAGCCGGGTATGGTAGCACGCACCTGTAGTTCCAGCTACTTGGAAGGTTGAGGTGGAAAGATCGCTGGAGCCCAGCAGGTCGAGGCTGCGGTGGCCGGGAGCGGTCACTGCACTCCAGTCTGGGCGACAGAGTGAGACTCCAACTCCAAAAAAAAAAAAGAAAATACTGACTAGTTAAAAATCAGAAAGAGCTGGGCATGGTAGCTCACGCCTGTAATTCCAGCATTTTGGGAAGTCGAGGTAAGAGGACTGCCTGAGCTCAGGGATTCAAGACCAGCCTGAGCAATTTGGCAAGACCTCATCTCTACAATAAATAAAATTTGCCGGGAATGGTGGTGCATGCCTATGGTTCCAGCTACTTGGAAGGCTGAGGCTGAAGGATCACCTGAGCCCACCAGGTCAAGGCTGCAGTGGCCATGAGTGTGTCACTGCCCTCCAGCCTTAGTGACAGAATAAGATTCCAACTCCAAAAAAAAAATCAGAATGGAGAGTTATGACATAAAAGCATTAGCCAATTAGAAATTTCAAGCCAGCATTGTAATCAATTCAGTTCATTTAACATGTTTTCTTCAATGTGATTTAGAGTTTAGTGAATAAGAAAACAAATGTCCTCAGGAAGAAATCTCACCACAAACCTACAGATTAAACTTTTCTGTGAATAACCATTAAGAAAAAAATAATTTCAAGAAGTTGCTGAATTTAAAATGTGACTTCCTCCACAACTCGTTCAAAAATTATATCACAACTCATGCCAGAATGCTAAAGAGACAAGAACACTATGGACAGCTAAAGACTTGTATTCCTAGGCTGAGGCCAAAGGATTGTCTGAGCTCAGGAAGTTGAGGCTGCAGTGAGCTGTGATCATGCCACTGCACTCTAGCCTGGGTGACAGATTGAGACCATGACTTAAAAAACAAACAGCAAGCAAAGAAAACCCTCTGAAAGGAAAAAAAAAGAATTTTCAGAACTTCTTCCATAAAATGAGAGCAATAGAATAAATGATCTCTGAAATTCTTTTCAGAAATAAGGGTCTTGACAGTTGAGGGAAACTGCTAGGGGAGGGAGGGCCATACCTCATCAACAAGGGTACCTGCATAATCGATGTTTGTATACCCTGAATTGTACCCCACATCTTTACAAAAAAAAAAAAAGAAAAAGATAGATTCTTTTCTAATTATGTATTTAATTGCTTTTTATAGTCTTAAACATATAAAAGATATCACAAGACTTCATACTCTTAGTTACAAGGGCACATAAACACACTTAAACACTTGTGGAGTCAATGACTCAGCAAGTATACACAGTCCACACCCATTTTTTTTTAAGAAGGAAACACTATCTGACACCAATATTATTCACTATTCACTCTACAAGTAACTAATACAATATTAACTAGTTAATTTTAAAATACAAAAAAGTTAACTACTACACTATAGAGGCTATTAATCTGACATAAGAGAAGTACTTACAAACATAATTTTTCTGTTCATCCAGCAGTCTTCAAAATCAGTGGATTACATCATTCTGACTGTTTCTATCATGTGAAATCTGAATGATTTTTCCCATAGAAACAATTAAGTAACAGAGCCTTGTTCACCAAATTGAAAACAAACCCCAGGGAACACTGTAGAGGATCAGGGGCAAACAATATAAAGATGGCAGCGTCAAGGATTTGTGGGGAGAGAGGAAGGGCTCTTAAGTAATTTCAGAGGTAAATAAAATAATTTTATGTCAAAATAAAAAAGAAGATATCTTTATTTAAAGTTTTATCAAGCCGGGCTCGGTGGCTCAGCCTATAATCCCACGCCTTTGGGAGGCTGAGGTGAGTGAATTGCCTGAGCCCGCGGGTTTGACCCGTCTGGGCAACTTGGCAAGACCTCATCTCTACAATAAATCAAAATGAGCTGGGTGTGGTAGCGCGTGCCTGTAGTTCTAGCTACTTGGAAGGCTGAGGCGGAAGGATTGCCGGAGCCCAGCAGGTCGAGGCTGCGGTGGCCGGGAGCGGCCACTGCACTCC